ATCTAAATCCTTGGCTCAAAATTATTGCTTCTACTCACTGGTTTAGCTGCCTTTGTCTTTGCCTTTTCGGCGGCCTTGGCTTCCTTGGCCTCCTTCTTGGCCTCCTTTTTGGCCTCCTTCTTGGCCTCCTTCTTGGCCTCCTTCTTGAGCTCTTTTTGTTTTGCTTTTTCTTTGGCCTTTTCCTGCGCTTGATGGCTCTTCATTTGCTCCATGGACTTGCGCCGTTTCGGGGGTTTCTTGACGAGCTTGAACGAACGTTTGATCTGAACCACCTGCCCGTTGGTAAGGCAAACCTTCAGCGATCGCAGCACATGCCGATCAAAGCGTCGCTCGTCCGTCACTTCATGGCCATTGCTCTTAATGTACTTGGCAATGGCCTGCACCGATGATCCGGTCTTACTGTCCAACACTTCGATGGCATTCAGGATCTTCGAGATGACACTGGTCTTGCGCGCTACCGTGCTGGGTCTGGCATCGGGCGGTGGAGTGGGAAAGAGATGTGACTCTGGAGCCTCGGGATGACCCACAAGGTCAAAAGTGAAGCCATCCTCAGGCTCATTTAGGGACTCTTCTGCATCTTGTTCTGACTCTTCGCCTTCCGGCTCTGATGAAGCGCTTTCGCAATCCATTTCGGGTGACATTTTCTTGGCAGGTTCCTTGCGCGCTTTGCTGTTGCCCTTAACTTGTAACTTTTTCATAATAAATTAAAATTTCAAAAATGGTCAAATAAAACACAAAGTGAACGAACGACACGTCGACTGTACACTGAATAAATGCTTAGAAATGTTCAATACAAATGAGAGAGAGAGAGGTAACTAGATCAAAGAAGAACACAGCAAACAGGCGAAAGAGTGAGCTTTGTTTACCGTTACAGCGTGGAGGTGAGAGCGAGGAAACAGAAGGCAGGTAGGAAATGTGCAGTGCCAGCTACAGCTGCTGTTGGTGACTCTAATCTGCGTGCCGTAAATGAGCAAGATCAGAGAGAGAGAGAGACAAAATGCATACTGTAGTTACATTTTGCTATCAAATATATTCAAACTTAAGTAATAACTCGAACACATTTGCCTCATCAAAGGGAGTGCTCCACTCGTAGCAGGTGTACACCAAAGTGTAAGCACCACTTTTCCATATGTTACCCGAATATACAACCCAAAAAATCCACTAAAAATGTGTGGGCGACTGCGGGTGACATTTTGATGGGGCCACAGAGCACCTCGAACTCCACCAATCAACGGCAAAAATAACAAAATGTCAAACAGAACGCATGCAACAATTTATTTAAATACCTCAACCTCATCAAATTTGAGTTAACACACCCCAAGCATCAGGCATCGGGCATTACGACAGCACAGACGATGGTGCTCATAGCCAGAACCAGAGCCAGCAGCAGACCCAGACACAGACATAGACCAACGAAATAAAATGAAAATGAAAATGAAAATTCAATTTTCCACCTAAACGCAGACACCGCATCAATTTTGAAAATGCTTTTGCGGAGCGGCAATGAAAACGATTTGTTGTGTTTGACGAAGAGTGGTGCCGTGGCCCCTGGGTCTCGTCGGGGGGTGGGGGAAATGAAAGTGGAGCCCAGACAGCGAGGAGCAGCAGCAGCACTCAAAAGTCGGCAGCCAAGAAGTCAACTCTGTCGATGCTAAAGAGATGCAGCCGGTTGGAAGGAGACCCAACAGAGGAGACTGCCAGAGGAGCCAACCGAAGGCAAGCATTATGAGTCGCCCTTCTATGCTCTTTCAAACTGGGTATTGATGTTTGCAGGGCAGAAAACGAAGCATTATTTAAGGGCATCAAATGTTTCGGCTCCCATTCGGTGGACGCAACAAAGACAATTAAAATATCTGTTGTGGCAATTGTCATGGCGCCCACACCACTCTCAGCTGCAGCTGCATCTCTCTCTCTCTCTCTCTCTCTCTCACACACTCTGCTGACACTCCACTGACAATCTCTGTGTGTGTTGATTTACGCAACAATTTTCCATATTTGATCGATCTCATCAACTCTTTTCGAGGACTGACTGTATTAAAAACATTTAATTAGTTTTTATTGACCATTAAGATGCCAATCGTGATTGGAACAGTAGCTACACACACACACAGCGACACGCCCACACCTTTCTACGCACAAAATGTAGATATATCTACATTAATGTTTATTACATTTCCACACAGATATATTTTATGGCCCAGCGCCCAAGCAAACGAAATATTTATGATATTTACAACAAAAGAGCAAACGCACAACATTTTTCTTTCTTTTTCATTTTGGACTAAAATTGATACAAAAACATACAAATTAATTAAAGTCAATAAAGTGAATTAAATGTGGCCCAGGGTCTTCTCTCCCTTTTAATGGGTGGAGTGTGTGTGGAAATGGAAATGGAAATGGGAATGGGAATGGGGATGGGCCCTCTCAAAGTGGCATCATCCGCGACTCTGTTGAGTGATCATTGGGACCGGGACTGGGACCGGGACTGGGACCGGGGCGGCATGCACTTCGCTGCCAATTTAATGGCGTTTTTACAACTTGAAAGATTCGTGCCTGCCATGCCGTTTTGAGCGATGATGAGTTTTCGGGAGCAGACCCAGCCCCGGTCCGGGTGCGGGTCTGGGACCGGGTCCGGGTGCGGGTGCGGGTCCCCCCGCTAAATGCACACGAAATGCAGCGCAACGAATGTCATTAGAACATAAAAATGATATTAATTGCATGCGAGAGTGCCTCGAGACCAGAGGCATGCACCTCATGCTATAGAAACGTCAACGTTATGATGATGGAATGGACATACGGAATGAGAGCTCAAATGGCATACGAAATGGTAGAGATTCTCTGGCCAGGAGCCTCTCCAGCTACAGCGTCAGAGCTCCAGAGCGCCACAGCGATCGCCCAGCACTGATAAATAATAAAAATTAAAAATAAATTAACACCTAGTAAAAATGCAGCGAGGGTAGACGCTGCTTTCTGTCCTTAGTTGGGACCTGGTTTCGGATGTTGTCGGCCCCGCAGACAGCTTAAAAATAGCGCAAAAGTAATTAAAAACGAAAATATAAAAGCCAAAAGACACACACAAACACACACAGACAGAAGTATGCCCCTTGGTCGTTGCATCTACCCATAAAAAAGATACAAATGTATGTGTACAAATATACATATATCGAATTTAACAAGCGCAACGTCGAAGCGAGGCACACAGATCAAAGGAGCCCTGAGGATGCGGCATGCGGCATGCTGCTTTGAGACCGAAAGTGTTGCCGCTTGCCCTGCTGATAATGAGGATGCTAATGCAGTTGACATTTTATGTGGCCATAGAATGCAGCAGGCTCTGGGCCTGGGCCTGGGCCTGGGCACTGATAATTAAATGGAATTATAATTGCATTGCTGGCAGCTGGAAACTGACTTGCCCCAGGCGCGACTGCTTAAATATTGATGGATTCATTAGCATCATATTTTGGTTTATTATGGTTTGGGGACTTATAGTTTATGGCTGCAGCTAATTCAAGCAACTTAAAGGGGAGAGGGACTGCAAAATAACACTGAAATCAATGGCAACAAGCAGCAAAAAGTAGCCAAAAAATAGCAAAAGAAACTCCAAGTAATTTCCATCGTTTGGCTGACTGGCTGTCTTGCTTCGTAATCGTCCAACGCAGCTGTGCCGTGTCGATGCTATAAAGGATAACGAGAAGCTGCCTCCCTCGCTCTCTCTCTTCGAACACAGCCTGGACAGGCTGCAGATATTTCATTGAATCAATTATCACTGGACATGGCATAATAATTACTGTCTGCTCTCGGCACGCTCCCGCCCACACACAGACAGCCACAGACAGCCAGAATGGAGTGCACCCACCCACACCCACACCCACACACACACAAACACAAACAAGGTCGCTCGAAGCGACAGAGCATCAGGGACATGTTCGGTTGCTTCATTGATAACTGGCTGGCTGGCAAGCAAAGCCTGCCCAACCTGGCCTTGTTGCCTAACCAACTGTAACAGGCACAAGTGTGGCAGAACAGAGAAGGACGTGCAGAAGGAGACAGCAATATAGAGAGAGAGAGAGAAAGAGAGTAAGAGAGGGAGCGAGAGCGAGAGCGAGCTTACGCAAACAAAATCCGAAGGATGCAGGCAATAAAACAAAAATTTGCTCGTATTAAAGCAAAATAATGAAGTGAAAATGGCAACAATGTGATTACACACAGTCACAGACCCCAAAAGCCATCATAAATTCTTACCAGAGACAGATTAAGAGTGTGAGGAAGAGCGAGAGCAACTGCGTCGGCGCTGCATGGCGTGTTGCCAGCAACATGTTGCTCGACGCTAACTTGTTGGATGCACAGCGCCCCCACACAGACCGAACACCCACCCCCCAAAAGCTGTTTGTTTGTTTTTTGTGTCGCAAAAGTTTTCCGCAGCCAGGCACACAATTTCCGATTCGAAAAGTTATTAATTGAGCCAGCACCATAATGAACTCATTTACAGATCGTAATGTGCTGCCATTATGGGGCACGGGGCGCACACTCATCCAAACAGCTGCCGCACTTGACGGCAGCCAGGCAGTCGAGTTAAATTGCTTGTAATGACGATGGTGGCAGCAGCAGCAGCAGCAGCACAAAGCATGTGACAGGGAGGCAGTTTGGGGCCGGGTGAAACAGGGCTAAATGTGTCCAATCACTCGAGGGCGGGCTACCCGGCAGCACGAGCAAATGTCAGACAGCATTTCTCCATTTGTAGCCTGGACATAGAGGCAGAGACAAGGTTCGATATGGATATGATGACTGCCCCTCCAGCCCCTGTGTGTGTTCTGTGCATCTAATGGATACACATGAATCTATCTTTCTATCTTACAAAAACCAAATGGGATTTCCCTTCCAAGTTTCGGGCAAAGTTTCAGGCCATATCATGTTAGTCCTGGAAATGTACTTCAAAAACTATTGGCTGAGACTTGCCAACTTGTTCTCAGATTTACTTTGAAACTCGTAACGACAACATCTCTATAGAAAAAGTACACAAACACAAATAAAACTCTCATAATTTAGCAGAATTTTCGAAAAAAAAACTGCCGTATTTTTTGTAAAACAAATATTTTTGGCTTTTGATAAAAACAAATAAAAAATGGAACGCTTTTATCAGCTGATACGCCTGCCGAGCCTTCATGTGGACTACAACAACAACGACATAAATCGGCAGCCAGGGTTGGACCAGCTGCTGGATGCCCCCCACGAGCCGCCCAGGAACCTGGAGCCCTTGGCCGAGCCTGAGCCTGCTGCGCTCATGCCACAAAAGAAGCGCAGCCATATGACCATCTCGCAGCCATTCCGCATTCAGAGCGAAGTCAGCGAGCTGCAGCGCAATGCGTGGCAGGCCATACAGGATGTGCCAGAGGAGCAGCGGCGCGATCACTACGTCAATTATATGATGGAAAACTTGAACAGTCAGAACTATCCGCATGGTGTGGGTCTGCCACATCGCTGGGGTCAGTTTTGAAGGAGCAGAGCCCAAACATAAACCTAATAAAATAAAACCAAAATAAGGCCAAGCATTGAAGAGTTTCTTTAGCGAAAAATATGAACTTAAAACTGCATTAACATTTATGAGAATATTTAACCAAACAGTCGATGATTCGTCCATCACAAATCTCAGTGTCAGGCTGCAAATTTGATTGACAAAAATGCCTGAAATTGACAATTAATAAACTTCAAAATTGGAAGCCGCACACAAATATGCCCCTGCCACAGGCAGCAAGCACAAAAGGATTTATGGAGTGCCCAGTGCAATGTAACAGAGAAACAATTGCAATCCAGTCGATTTACACACATGTGGCACAAACCCAAACTGAACATTGACAATGACCAGGGAGCAGCAGGCAGCAGGCAGCAGGCAGCAGAGACAAAAGACGAGCACAATTGGTCGGACAATTGGCCCAAAAGTGTAGCAAATAAATACAAAATGCAAAGGATAATTGCAATCAGAGCCACAAAATGTAGCCAAAAGGCTTATAAATTGTGGGCGTGTGCACGGCAAGGCTGCAACATGCCGCAGGGGCGGTAAGGGCGGTAAGGTGGCAGGGCATCCATTGCACCGAAGGTAAATTGCATTTAATTTCCTAAATGTGCTTCATATGTGATACGCACACGCAAAAGATACAAACAAACATTTCAATGCAAATACAGTCATGGCAGTCAGTTGCAGTTGCACACACACACACACACACACACACACAAACACGTAGTGTAGTTGCCACCCAGAACCTACAGCTGCTGGCTGCTGGCTTGTGGCTATGAAGCTTTTGATGCCCTAAACTCAAGGGACTAGCCGATGGGCAAGTAATTTTCGAGAGTAAAAAAGAGCAGAAAATCCTTCCCCAAGATTCGTTTTAAAGCAGCTAAAACATAAATAAAGTAACATTTTAGCTTTGAAATAATATTAAATGACATCTAAATTAATTAATGGTATGATTTTTAGCACTAAAATAATTATGAAATATTTATTTATAATTTTTTTGGATTTATTTATTTCGATGCCAAAGTCCAGCAACCTTTTGGCAGGCAGAGCATAATGAAGCGCCGGCAATTTGCGGCCATTATTGCAACAGACAGCCAGGCTATATTATGTGGCATGCCCCCCCACACACACACAAACACACATGGACTCTCTCTCTCTCTGTTTTGTGGTGTCACTGGCTGGGCAGGGGGCAAGGGATGATAAGGCTTTGCTTCGGCCATAACTTTTGGTGGCTGCTTTTGGGGCTAAGCTTTTTGCATTTGGCTCTTTTTTTGGGACTGTGATTGCAGGCAAATGGCATTTGCCACACATGCAGCAATGTTGGGACGCCGCCTTCTAATTGAATTGAATTGATTTTCGGTTTTGCCCTTTGTCTGCGCTCCTAATTGTTGCAAACCAGCTAAAAGCATTTATGCATGCAACAAAAATATGTGCGGAACCGGAGCAGCATTTAAAACGTAATTATGGCATGTTGCCCCGCAGCCAACCAGCTCCACCCTGCCACTGTGCCACATGCTGCAGCAAGGGTTGATTCATTTACCAAGTGCTTGCTGCACATGTGCCCCTCGCATCGTGCAGCAAGCTGACAATCGAGTGGAATGAAGTTTTGTGTCCGTTCCGAATGTTTGACAGACGACTTCCCCCCCACAAATGGACTCTGGAATTTTTGGGGGTTGCTGCCGCCGGGCAATGAATGCACGAAATGTGATTGATGCCCTCCATTGTTGCACGATGTACTTTGATGTACAGCCCACACCCCCAGCCTCTCTCCCACCTGTGCTTTGGTTGAGTAATTGATTTTAGCTCTGCTTGACCCCCAGTGGGACAGGGCACTGGGATTACCAGACATTGGCAGTTAATAGCACAAAACTCCCGCACACATGCCATTCATTTATGAATTCAATTCAATGTCATGGCAATTTCTTGTAAGTTCCCCTTAATTATGCACTCGTAACTAAGTTCGCATTAATTATTGTCACTCGATTCACATGAAATCCCTCTCGAAAGCCCTGGCCAGGCCCCAGAGCAAAGTAACTTCTCGGATTTTGCACACTCAGCAGCGACAAACAATTGCAGCAAAAAGCGACAGAGTGCAAAAATGCTCCAACTACACACAACCACTGGGAATACTCTTTGGGGGGCAAGCACTTGAAGGAGATATTTTTGTAATTGGTTGAGGAGTTGGCTGTTCCAGCAACAGTTTACAGCTGAAATCGGCTTACAAAACAAAACACTGAAATAACAGAAAATTCCACGAAGTTACAACTTCTTTGCCACAAATTCCTCAATAGAAAATCCACCAACAATAAATATAAACAATTAGCAAGCAAATCGATTATTTTCGACATGTTTTTTTTCACAAATTCCCCTATAAATAAATCTTTAAAATTATTCCCGCAAATAACTCTACCAAAATCATCATAAATAGGTGCCTTAGTGCATCTAATACCCTGTAAAACACTCCCTAGTGTATTCTAAGCTTCACCATTGCATTGCTTATTTATTCTTTGTTTAGTTTTTCTGTTGCTTTCGCATTTTGATTGTATTTATGGGGAAACGTGTGCAGAAAGTTTTCCACTTACAAACAATTCACAAGTAAAATACCTTGACTTTTGCTCATGAAGAATGGAGAATGAACGGATGGGTGGGTGGTACCCAAAGTTGATGTCTGTGACTGCCAAGGCTCTTATGGCTCCCGCCCCCCCATCCGCCCTGAAGCATATTGCGCACTCACACAGACACGCAGAACCCAGACCGACAGAGCGACCTCATGTAGCAAATTGTTGGAGAATAAAGTAAGAACAGCAGAAAGCAGGAACAACAGCAGGAACAGTGGCAGGCAGCAGTAGAGACAACATCCGCACAAGAACGACAACAAGCTGACATGGGAGATACTCGTAGCAAATGGCAAACTAAGCATCAGTAAAAGATACTTTTCCCTGTAAGTAGAAGCGTGGGTGGGCTTTGCCTTGCCAGTACCGGGGACCTGTCTAAATACGAGCAAGCGATTTGTACTGCTAGTTGGCAGAGCAGCGAGCAGAGCAACAGGAGCCATGACAACATGCCCGACCCGCCACTACACCCTCCCCCCCTCTGAGTGGCTTTATGTAAAATGATAATATTCACCTGCAGTTCGTGTGGCAATAGAATGCAGCAGCAGGCACCCAGTTGGACAACTGAAACAAACGACAAAACAAAACAGAAGCAAAAGCAAAAGCAAAGCAGAGAAGAAGATGGAATTCAGCTAATGAAATTACTTGGCTTGCCATTCTTTCAGTGTAATAACCTAATTTCATGGCAGTATATTATTCATTTCAGTGCACATAACCGACAGGAATTTGATGGAATTTCCTGTAAACACAGAGAAAGAGAGAGAGAGAGAGAGAGAGGGAGAAGAAAACAGACGAGCCCCACACCCGACACACATAAGGGAAGAGCACAACAGGCGGACAGAGGGACAGACACATAAACAGGCTTATGAACCAGCTTGGCACTAAAGTCTATTGCTGGTCTGTGCTTCTGCTCGTGCCTCGACTCCCCCTGCTGCTCCACGCTACTTCACTATTGGCCCTCTGCCGTTGCTGGTGGTTAAACAAACAGACCAAGCGCCACCACAGACAATCAGAAAGGCATTCAGCCAAGAGAATGCCGAACACCAGCAGCAGCAGCAGCAGCAGCAGCAGCAGCAGCAGCAGCAGCAGCAGCAGAGTAAAGCAAAGCAGAATAGGTTCATGAGCAGCACACAGTGGGAAGAGAGCATTACGACTAGGGGATACCTCGTGTGCGCAGAGGGGTTTTTTTCTGCTAATTAACAAGCTGTTGATGATGAAATGCTGCTAATACTTTTAATAAATATTTAATTATTTAATTTCAGCAACAAAACTACAGGGTAGAGATGGTAAAGTAAGAATATAAATAGCGAATAACAAACAGCTCTCAAGCTCTCAACTGCCCATTGCCTGTTATGCTCACCTCCACTACGCAATAATGAGTAAGAAGAGAGAGAGAGAGAGTGGCCACTGCAGGGGGGGGACAAGTGATTTCATCTCATCTTCATCTATCTATCTATTCTCCTCCAACTACTTAGTGCATATAAATATTTGAGCAAATATTCCAAAATTTAAATGTTCAAAGCTCTGGCGACTAGCGCTGTCAGACATCAGACCCAATAACTGGCAATCAAATATCAACGCAGACAAAGAAGTTAACGGCAAAGGCATTGAAAAGTGTTGCGTGGGCTGGGGCTGGGGCTGGATTTGCATATGTTGAGAAAAACAAAAGTTGAAATCTCGTAAATGTTCATGTCTCTAGTCAAGTATCTGCGAACAAAAGGGGGGGAATTCACTGAGAGATTCGACTGGCATTTTGTGATCTTAATTGATGGCAATCAGTGAGAGAGAAAGAGAGAGACAGAGAGTGGATTGGTATGGATGGGGGCCATTAACACATTTTAATCTGCCGTTGGGCGAATGGCTTTTGTGTGGTCGAGAAGCAGAGCAGCAGGAAGGCTCCACCTCCACCTTCTCATCCTTCTCCGGCTGTGGCTCTTTCGCTCTTAATCATCAGCATAAGCAATAATGGGAAACAATTGCCATCTGTTGGATGCCTCCCAGGCAGGCTGCCTTGCCTGCTGCCTGCCTTTTACCCGGAATGTCTGTCGCCTTTTGGCTGCCACTGAAAATTGCAGGGCTGAGCTGGGGCTGAGGCACACACTTTTATTGCATTGCCATGTCAACAGTCAGGAGGCAGTAGCAGCAGAAGTTGCACTTAAAATGCGAATCCGAATGCGAATTGTGACGCAAAATGAAGCTACTTGTGTGCCAGACACAGATGCAGATAGAGACACACACAGATGCAGGGATACAGGCTACAGATACTGGGATACAGATTCAGAGCGAGATGGCAGCAAACTGCGGCAGGCAGGCTCCACTTTCGGTGTGTCTCGATGTCTGCCTGGTGGCGGTGGTGCTGCTGCTGTTGCAGCATGCCACATTCAATTAGTGCAACAACATATCCTGCCATCAGTTGATTTTGCCG